GAAAATTAACTAACGACCAGAGACGTAACAATACGAATATTTCGAATAAAGGTTTAAGTAAAAATAATAGTAAGACATAAAATGATCTTACTGAAAAGAGAACTTGAGAAATCACTGAAAATGTGAAGTAAAGTGGTATACAAATCAACTAAAGCCACCATTTAGATATAGCGGAAAGCTTTCAAAGCTTACATTTGAGCTTTGATACCCGCAGTGGGTAAGCATAGATAGACCATTGTGTAGCTTTGCGCTTAACAATAAACAAACAAACTTTGATTACATCTACATTATCTTTAGGGAATGCTTGTCACAATTTTTAAATATTCTAAACTTCACATTACAACAAATAAATTGCAAAGAGTGCGTCTTTAATTAAAGAGTAATATTCAGTTGAATGTAGATTTTTTTCCCATGAATTCTGTTATTAAGTTAGTTCGAGTTCTCGTGAACAGGATGTGAAAAATTCTAAACTTGCGTTAACTCATTATCTTCAACAAAGGTTTCATATCACAGTAGCCAATCTGTAAGCATTTGTTCTTGCTTGGCCCTGTTTCTGCATCATCACCCCGTTGGATGTGACTCATACTCAAGTTGACTGGTGGCACAGAGATCTTTGCAAATTAGAATTACCTAGGTATATATATATATCTTGAAAGTATAGTAAAAATAAATGTTGCCACAAGAAATCTAGGATTATCAGATATCACAATAGGAGCTTTGATTTTGACTTAAAACTGCATAATTTGATAGGCATAATTAACCAAGGTAGTCCTACACCTGACCCGGCTTGTGGGCTTTGAAGTTAAGCACAGGTTATTGGAAGGATTTCTAAATGTGGCATGTAACGAACAAGAAGTAGTTGAAAAAATCTAATTATACGCTCTTATTGCTGAAATTCGTATTGATTATTGGGTTGTAATTAAATCATTATCAGTATTTGCCCAATAAAGTTAGAAAAAAAAAGCAACAATAAAAAATATATTTACCCTCCAGATAATAATAAATTATTTCAGCCAAAGATTCGCCAATGAGGCTTCATAAGGCTGGTAGTACTTATTAGTAGTTATTGTTATCTCGCGATTAAAGGTATTTTATTTTATTTTTTGTTAACTTGGCTGACAAATTGTCTCAGTCTCTCCAGTAAGCACTACAAATTTTGAAAATTAACAAAATATTATCATTATTATTATAATATCACATATTTACTACGTCTTCTAACCATATTCATTTGCTTATGCCCACGGTGACTTAGCGGAAAGCTTACATTTGGGCTTTGATACCCGCAGTGGGTAAAGCACAAACAGACCATTGTGTAGCTTTGCGCTTAACAATAAACAAACAAACTTTTGCTTACATCTACATTTTATTACTCAGCCCATTTCGGAAGAGGGCGTTTAAAAGAATATCTCTCGCTTTTCTCTTAATTAGGCAATTGCTCTGTGTTGACAACGGAAGTAGAGTAATTAAAGTGGTTGTTAGTATTTGTTAAAGTACTATTAACTGAGCTGGGTTTGGCCATTTATTTTAAACAAAAATAGTATATACCTATGATACAAAGTATGTTTCTTTATGGTATTAAGTTTAATGTAGTTTTCATATCTTACGAAATACTCTAATTTTCAATAATTTTATATCAATAATGACATTTTATGTTTTTCGAAAGGGTAGAATAACCTGCACTGCTGTAGCCATAACAATTATTAACATTTTGTTAGTGTCATTATATAAGTCATCAGTAATACAATTTATAGTAATACTAATAGTGTTAATGTTAGTATTATAATCACTAATATTATTTTACCATTAATGTTAACATAGTTTTTAGTGGGCATATTACATTACTTATTATTTATTTTTGGAATACAACGCTTCGTCTTTAAAAAAGGTAAAATAAGAAAATTTACAATCACGTACAAATATGATATTCGAATCGAAGTACAAATTCAAATAATTTGTAATTGTACTTTGAACTTTAAGTGTAAGTGTGATACAAGAGCAGTTTTAAGAACTTTATAAATAGTAGGTTATTATTGAGTTATTAACTTAGTCAAGTTATTGTAACACTACAGTTGGACAACGTTACCATTTTTGTTAATTAACGTATAACTATAAGTTATACTTATAAGTTATAGTCTTAGCCGAATTTTTGGAAGTTAACATCCCAAAATTCAGCCTTGTT